CAGACTTACTTCTGTCCAGGCCAATCTGAAAGAATTGTCTCAGATGAGGATCCCTCTTCCCAGATGAAACCAGTTTGTGTCAAGTTGACAAGTATCCCTTCACCCTCCCAGAGGCCCTCTGCCAGTTACTCCTTACAGTGCCCTAACTACCTTCACAGGCCCTCAGGACAAGGCTCAGGGGCCTCCTAAGACAATTCTGCACCATAGAAATCTCTGTTTACTCACGCCTTGCCTATGTGATAAATAAAGTTGGGGCAGCTTGTAGGAAGAAAGCCAAGATGAAATTGTCCTTCAGATGTTTTGACATTAAGACCTGAAGCAAGAGAGAAACAATGGAGAAAGAACTTCATTAGGAGAAACATGGGGGTAGCATGCCAGGGTTCCTGAAGGGAGAGACACAGACATGTCAGTTCCTAGAATAGTTATAGCTTTATGTTGCAAGCATCAGGATGGGACCTTGAAAGGAAAGGGAGCCTTCAATCTCAAAAATCAAAGAGAGGGTTTTGCTTCCACAGGTTTCCGAGATGGGATATCTTCTGTGTCAGGTGATCTGGTCCACATTGCAAGAGTCACAGGGAAGAATGGCATTAGACAAAAGTCAGGGTTCTGTTAAGGTAATTTTTATAAAACTGTGTTTGTTTCTCAGTTTCTTTCTTGACCCAGCTATCAAACAAATAACTGAGACTCATTATTTTAACAAGTTTTGCAGCACAAGAACTGAGCAGTTATCACTCTATTCTTAATCCTCTAGGCTAATTTGGCTTCCTCCCAGTGTGCATCCCAGAGATTCTTGCATTTTGTAGCTTTTCTGATCCAGCTGAATCTTTCTGCTCTCTCCTGATGTTATCTGGACCTCTCCAGTGGCTGAATTCCTTACTTCCTCCTCAAACTCATCCTCCCCTGACTGGCAGGAAATACAGCCCTGTTCTCTCCCCTGCTCAGTGATTGGCTATAAGCTGTTTTATTGGCATATCAGGGACAGTTGGGGAGCATGGTTTACCTTACACTGAGACAGGAGATTCTCAGAACAAGGACTGCAACCGGATAAGAGAGATACCAAAGTCAGTATTCTAATTACACAATAACTTTTTGCCTACAAGGTTCTTTTGCATCAGCGTATTAGTGGGCTGGGCCTAACTGTAGTTGCAAGAGGGAGGACAGCACTCAGCTCTGGGTAAGACCTGGGCTGGTTAGAGTTTTTTTGGTTTTGATTTTTTGTCAACTTGACACATGTTAGAATCATCTGGAAAGAGGGAAACTCAACTGAGAAAACTGCTTCAATCAGATTAGCCTGTACGAAAGTAAGTCTGTGGGCCATTTTCTTGATTAATGATTGATGTGGGAGGGCCCATCCCTCTGTGGGAAGTTCTACCCCTGGACAAGTGGTCCTGGGTAACATAAGAAAGCAAAACGAGTAAGACGTGAGGGGCAAAACTACAAGCAGTGTTCCTCTGTGGCCTCTGCTCCAAATTCTTGCCTTTTGAGTTCCTGCCCTGACCTCCCTAGGGACTCCAAGCTATAAGATGACATAAACCCCTACCTCTCCAAGCTTCTTTCAGTCATGGTATATATCACAGCAACAGAAAGTGAACCAGCTGCAAGGTCCCAGCATGTGCCGTGAATCAACTCTGTGGAACTCCCGGTGAGTGTAGCCTGATTTCTGGGGGCGAGAGTCACCTGAAGGATCTGTGATATAAAAGCCACCAGCACAGCTGGCTGTCCAGCACACCACAGTGGCTTTTCCATTCTTCAGACACTAGAAAAGGGAGAGGAACTCACATTGCTGACCCCCTCCTGAGGCCCCAGGTAGGGAACAATTGTAAAATCTGAGAGGACCTGTTTGGGGGGTGGGGTGGGGAACGCCACCACTGACTGCCAGGGACAGGAAAAATTTGAGTGGAAGCCCCAAGAAGGGCAGGACCAAAGGAAGCTTGCAGAGCTGCTCTGAGCTCAGCCGGGGTTACCTGGTGGCTGCAAGGGGATTCAGAACTTACCAGTATCACCCTGGCTTATGATCATGGAGGCGTGCCTGCCCTGCTCTCCCTGGAGACAGCCAGCACCTGTTAGCAGGTGGTGGAAAGGTGAACACAGTCTGGACCTGCGCCTCTTGGTGTCCACGCAGTTATGCCCTTCTGCTCTAGATCTGTCCTTAACTGGATTCATTGGACATAAAAAAAAAAAAATCTGGACATGGCTACCATTGTCAGCTTGCACTGGCCTTCATACAAGAGCAGACCCTCCCTTCAGGGGGAAGCAGCCTTACCAATGACAATGCAGGACAGTCCTGATGAGACCTGATAGGCTAGGGTCAGAGGGAAGGGCAGGAGGACCTCCCCTATCAGTGGACTAGGGGAGGGACATGGGAGGAGAAGAGGGGGGGGAGAATTGGGGGGGGGTAAGGGAAGGGGCTACAGCTGGGATACAAAGTGAATAAACTGTAATTAATAAAAATAATTAATTAAAAAACCCAGCAGATCCAGCAGTTCACTTGGGTATTTATGACCAGAATGGGCAGGGACATAACAGTGGCCTTGAGGACCCTGATATGCTAGTCTCTCGCCTCTTGTGAGAGGTTATAATTGATGACAGTTCATAGATTGTGCAGTCCTCTCCTGTCCCCACCTCCCTACAACCCTAAAGTACTGTCTAGCAGTCAGGGCCTAACTCTGATTCACGAGGCCAGGTGGAACCCCAATGCCCTCTCCATAGTATTTATGTTTACCAACGTCCTGAGGTGAGGTGAGCAAGTATCTGCTCAACCCAGATGGGACACTGATGACAGATCAAAGAAAGGATTCTACCCAAGCCTAGCTTGGTGGACAATGGGTTTATTGGGGTTACTTACAAGATCATGATAACCCAACTGTCATGGAATTACTGGAAAATCTAAATGTCTTAGTTAGGGTTTCTATTGCTGCAGTGAAACACTATGACCAAAAAAACACAAATGGGGAGGGGGGTGTTTATTCAATTTATACTTTCACCAAAGGAAGTTGGGACAGGAACTCAGGACAAGAACTTAAAACAGGACCGAAAGCTGGAGGCAGGAGCTGATGCAGAAGCCACAGAAGGGGTACTGCTCCTGGCTTAGGGAGGGGCCTTTAACTTTTTACACAGCAAGCTTCACGTAGTCCCTGAGCCTAATAGGCCTCCATTATACTCGCAGAAGGGTATGTTTCTTTCAATCCAGAGGAAAGACCTAGAAATGGTCCCAAATCCAGTTCTCAACTGGCTTCAACTACTGCCCAGCAGCATCTCCTCCTTCATGTCTCAGCATGTGTTTCCTGAGCCCTGGATGCTGTTCTGAGATTGTAGCTATGATTGTTCTTGGAAATGAAGGGGTGGCTGGAGACCAGAGCCCTCCAGCATCGAGTAGCCTTTCCTCTTTCTACATCACTTTGAAGAGACTTTAATGCCGCCACCTCGTCAGGCAGCCCCGGATCCTGTGGCCCTTACAGTGGTACACTTGGTTAGTTTCACTGAGGTCACTCTCTGGAACTTACGTGTGACCTACAGACTGGGAATCTTAACTTCTCTTGTTTACTTTCCCCTTCCTTCTTTTCTTCCCACCCTCCACCTTTTTTTTTTTTCTTCAGTACTGGAGATCAGACTCTGACTTCTGAAACCTGCATGGATACCAAGATACACACACACACACACACACACACACACACACACACACACGCCCTAATTCATTTTGTGTGCTTTACTGGAACATCTCTTGAAAACAACACTGATGGTTGTTTGTTGTCAAAGACAGACAGAGTGGAGCAAGAGAGCACAGGTGGCCACCACTTGTTCCAACTCCCTAGAAGGAAGGTGGGGTGGAAAGGTCCAGAAAAGCAATCGAGACTGGCCCTCAGAAGGGGGTCTCAGGAAGAAAGAGAAAGCCAAAGTGTTATCTAAGAGGTCACACAGGTCACACACCAGACATTTGGGGCTGGAAAGGCACAGAATAATCACAGGAGCATCACTGAGACGGGCAGGTTAATTCAGAGCAGTTAATTTAGGATTCCTACCGTGTCACAGAGGCACCTACTGTGACAGTCAAGAACTTCATCTGTGTCAGCCATGAGCCCTCCTGTAAAGAAGATCCCGGGGGCACGATTCAAAGGTGATACCTGGAGATCTCAGCGACATGGTTCCCAGAAGGCTGAGTTCTAAGGAGCCCTCCATTAGCCCCTAGGTGTCTTGCTGTGGTTCCCTAGCCCTAGGAATACTGCCTTTCCTGCAGTGATGACCTCAGTGATAAACTGTCTTAGCAGCGTGTTAATATCTTGTTAACTTTTCTTCCCACAGTACATTTTACACTTGCAGGAATGCCATAACACATTTGTGAAAGTCAAGGGATAATTTTCAGCTGGTTCTCTCCTTCCACTATTTAGGGTCTAGGGACTGAACCCCAATCCATCTGGTCAACCTCTTAATTCTTTGTATTAAATTCTTTTGGTTGTGAGTTCTCAACCAAGGACACACATGGAAGTTTGTGTAACAATGTAAATAAATCCTACTGTGTGCTGTTACTGGGGAACTCTCTGGGGACATTAAAGTGTTTTGTTTGCCCAAAGAATTCTTTTGTGTTCTAAACTTCAAAGACCAAGTCTTACAAAACATCATCTCTGTTCCTGAATTGTTTACTATCCTTGAGGATTTGTTAAGTGACTTTCTTTGATTATCTATAATGTTTATGAGTCAAAATTTTATTCCACACATATTATAGGACAATGGAATAAAACCAATAACTCATTATCCCTTCAAATAGTCAGACTCTTTATTATAATAAAATACAGATGTCTGCCAACTTTTGACTGGTGTGTGTATATTACTGTTTTTTTTAGCAGCTTTTATACATTATTGATTTTGGTCCCCTATTGGTTGTGCACACTGTTCCTCAAGAGAAGCATGCTAAGGATGCTTCGTGCATAGCTCCTGCCAGAGCCAGAGAGGGAGCCAGAAAAAGGGCTGTGGAAAATAGAAAACATTAAAAAAAAAAAAAAGAGTCAAGAAACAAAATGAGTCTTTATTGCTGGTCAGATCACTCATGGAATCCTAGCAATTCGACTCAGCATGCTGGCTTGGAACTCTGGAGGAGGTACTGCTAGCCTTTTCTTGGCTGCGTCTTCCAGGATGCTCAGGATGAGGCCATGGGCCTCCTGACACAGCTCAGCACCCAAGAATGCCTCCACCCGATCTCGCCATGCCGACAGTCGAGGCCGTCCCTCAAACAGGTTACAGCCAAGAGCCACGGGCTGCAGGGACAAAAATGTGAAAGCTAGAAAGACACTGAAGTCCCATTGCAGACAACTCAGTTCAGGCATGACAGACACAGCCCCCATGGGAGGTCCGGGACATTGTGATCAGCTCCAGAAGCTATCTCCCACCTAGACAGGAAACAAGCCACACAGAGTTCTCTTCTGTGGTTCTGGCTTTTCCCGGGCCACATTGTTTCTGAGGTATGGTAGTGGCAGGAAGAGGGGTCCCACCCTTAGCTGCTATTTCACCCACTGGTCTCACACCTGCATCAGCTCCTCCAGAGACATGAGATCGGCCAGTGTCACCTGATGGCCAGTAAGGAAGGCCCTGTCCCCGAGGAACTTTTCCTCCAGACACTGCAGAGCCAGGACCATCTGCTCTCTGTTCCGTTCTACCTTCTCCTCGGGAACCTGGATCCCAATGAGTGGCCCCAACACCTGGTGGGTCAACAGATGTGCTCAGTGCACAAGCCTAATTCTTAACGGGTCCCCAAGACTCAGCCCCTCCCCAGAGGACCCTGCACACCTTGGCCCACAGGAGCACTCCAAACGTGCTACGGATGTTGTCAGCATGCCAGCCCAGGTACTCATGGACTCGGGCACGGGCCTGCGGGTCTGCTGGGTACCAGTGGTCCGCCACCTGGTACTTGGAACTCAGGTAAATCAAGATGGCCGAGCTAGGGATCACGAGAAGAGGGGCGGGGTTGTAAGGACCTTGCCCGTTTCCCATTCCTCAGTGAGGCCTCAGAATCGAGAATTCTCACATTTGAAGTACCCCCTTTTGGTCTCACCGCCTATCCCTCTCTCTCGAGGGCTCTTTCCTGTCCCTGGAGCCTTTCCTCTCTGCAGTGCGAGGCATGGAACCCACGTTTGGGTTTTGTTTTTTGTTTTTTGAGCTCTCTGCCTTTTGAGGCTTCATCTGTATGGCACTCCAGCAGCCACCCTATGAGGTAGAGACTATTCTTTTTGCATGCGAGGAAGCTAAGGCTCAGAAGAGTTAAGAGACTTGTCGGAGTTGGCACAGCTTAGAAAAAGTTCCCTGGAGCCTTGAAACCTGTGTGAGACGGGCACACATCTCTGGAGTGGCTTGAACATGCCAAAGGGGAACCATGTCCTCCGGTTTCTGCCAACAAGCCCACCAGCCACCGACCGGTCTAGTCCGGTCTCTATCTAGTCACTAACCAGCCTCTGATCCCTGACATTTTTCACTGGTCTCCAGGGCCAAGCCTTGGGAAGTTAGAAAGGACATCTGGGAAGTCTGAAGAAGCTCCTTTCTAGTCTCCCTTTATTGAATCTACATTTTTCTAACCCCGGACAAACGTCCCCTTATCGACTTTCAACACCCCTCAGTCAGAGCGGGAGAGGCCTGGAGGAAGGAGTCCAGCAGAAGAAACAGAAGCAGGCCAAGTTGCCTTCCCAGAATGTCTGCTCTGACCACGCCTCTTCAAGGCCTTGGGTAGGAATCTGCCAGGGATCCAACCCCCACCCAATCTCTGTCCGGAGGAAACAGGGCGGGGTGGGGTATGAGGGGTGCAGAGGTTGGAGGGTGGGGATTTGGGGTGGGGGATGGGGTGGCGAAGGCTCTGAGTTTATTCACAGCTGCACCTTTCGGTTAACACGAAGTTTCCGTCTTTGAGGACAGGAATTTTCCGAAGGGAGTTCACCTGGGAGAATTGCTCGCTCATGAGCTGCCCTGCGAAGGAAGGAGCCAAAAATTGTGTGCAAGGGCCCAGGCAGAACCCCTGCATTCCCCTCCGCGCCTTGCAGCCAGAGCCCCTCCCCAGAGCAAGGCCGAAGAGGCTAAGACCAGGATGGGCTGGGAACCTGCGGGTTCAGCTACGGTGTCGCATCCGGCAAAGTCTCTGGGACTTTGTGAATCTAAACACCACGCGCTTTCAAAGCAGAAACTCTGCAAATGAACCTTTCCTTTTTCTCCTCACGTCCCAGGACAGAATGTACCGTCCTATCTCCCTTGTCAGAGCAGAATTCAAGTTTAGAGAGGGCTCTGAGCCCTCTCTTTCCCTGGTGGACAACACTGGGGAATGAGATGATGGGTTAAGGAGGGGGTGGGGGTGGGCAGACTGTATCGGCAGGGCGTAAAGGACTAACGTGGTCTAGGGGTAAATGAGTACCAGGCTTGGGCCAACCTTTTAGTATGTCCATGTTATGCATCTTGAAGGGGATGCCGTTCTTCTTGGCGAAGATGTAGACAGCGCGGCAGGGCTGCGACAGCAGGTTCAGGTAGAGCTCCAAGTCCATGGCAGCAGGGTGCGGAAGGACTGCCTTCACCGACAGTAGGAAATGGAGGCGGCCGCTTCGCAGGACTTTGCGCTGGAGCAGGGCTGTGGTGCGCACACTCAGGCCGACCCGAGTGCTTTGCTCTTCAGAGCAGTGCAGCCACGGATCCAGCCCAGGACCTTCGTCTCGCCGGGACCCGGAAACAGCCAAGCTCTGCCTTCCTGGATCTAATCCAGAGAGCTCTGTGGACTTAGTGGCTTGCAGGGAACAGGTTCCAGCGGGAGGGGATCTTAGAGGCAGCTCACTGGGGGAAAACTGTCTATGGCCCAGCTTCCGCGTGCAGACCGAGCAGGTCGCCTGAGAACACAGCGTCTCCCCACTGGTCCGTGAGATCTGGGAGACTGGGCGGCAAAGCTTGAGGGAGCAGTCAAGAACAGCGCCACGCCCCCAGCCCCCAACACACACTCTTACCACTGATCGCTGGCTTGATCTGAATCTCTTTAGATTAGCTATGGCCCGTGGCCCGTATCAGAGACCAGAGTGTTTCCCTGGGAGGTTTTGTTTCCATTTACTTACTTGCTTACTTAACGACTCACTTATCCATTCGTTCGTTAGTTCGTACGTTCATTTATTTATATTTTTTTGGACACTGAAGGTCTGGAGGTCTTGCTATATTGCACAGGTTTGCCTTAAACTCTTGGGCTCCGCTGATTCTCCAGACTCAGCTTCCCTGAATAGGACTGCAGGTGAGACCCACTCTGCCTGTCTTTGCAGAGGGTTTTTATGTTTGTTTGTTTGATTGATTGATTGATTTGGTTGGTCATTTGGGGTTTTTTGAAACAGGGTTTCACGTAGTCCAGGTTGCCTCAAACTTAATATATAGTGACCTCAAACTCCTTGATCCCCTTGTCTCCCCACCCCTCCCCACCAAGTGCTGGGACTATAGGCATTTGCCACAGCACCAGGGTTTGGCCGGATAGTTTTGAGTTGCAGCTCAAAGATCGCTCCAGGCTGGAGTAGCCTCCAGAATCTGATGGCAGGCTGCCCCGAGCCCAAGTTACCACAGAGAAAAAGAACGTTGTGGGGAAAGAAGCTCTCTCAAGTGGTCCCTCACCTCTCTCCCCGCCCACCCCTCAGACCAGCTTTGAAGCCCAAATGCCCCCTTTGCCTAAATAAGTCGGTGTTGTTTTTGAGGAAAGAGTTCTGAAAAACCACAGAGCTGTTCCCGGAGGAGGCTCTTCTGAAGCCCTGCAGGGCACACGGCCCTGCTCGTGCAAAATTCCAGTTGGAAGAGCAGGTGATCCAAGATGTCTGTATCCACGCAAGGAGAGGACGCGGTCCTCTGACTGGGCCCCAGAAGCTTCACCTTGTTTCAGGTTGTGATGAGCATGCTCCCCCTAGGCAAACAACCTCCTCACTTACAGGGTCAGATGCGGCTCTTGAATAAATGTTTTCCTGAATTCCCCTGCCTTTCACCTTGCCTGACCCTCCTTCTCCAGGCTCAGGTACCTGCTTCACCATTGTCCCCTCCACCGCTGACAAGGAACTGGTTTGGCTATCTCACTCCCCTCTTCGATCTCTTCCTCTCTTCTGCCTTCTTTTCCATTAAATGCTTCTTTGAACCTTGGCACGGACACCCATTTTGCCTGCCACTCTCCCACTTGGTCCCCAGTTGGTGGTCTGTTTGGGAAGGTTAACTTTTAGGATGCAGCACTTTGATGTAGGAAATATGTCGCTGGAGGTGGGCTTTGGAAGTTTATTGCTTCCAAATCGATAGCTGCATCTCTGTTCCATCTCTGCTTTCTGGCTGTGGGTGGAGATGTGATCTCTCAGCTTTCTGCTCCAGCTGTTCCAGCTGCCTGCTGCCCTACCTCTCTCAGCAATATGGACTCTAACCTTCTGCAACCATAAGCCAAAATGGGCCATTGAAAATGAGTATGCAAAGTCGAGAGTGAGAACAGTTGCCCCAGGATGAACACCAGGACTATAGTACTCAAATACTGCCATTGGGTGGGGGTCAGGGGCTGGGGCTCAGTGGCAGAGCACATGGTATGGAGAATGAGGCAAACTACAAGAAACCTGGAAGAACTGTACACCTTAAGTTCTGTGCCCATAATGAAATGTTGTGGGGGAGAAGATACTGCAGTGTACTGGTGGGCTCTCCACTACTCTTCAAACATGGGAGGGATGGGGGGGTGTGACTCAGTCAGAGAGCGCATGACATATAAAGCACAAAATTATACAAAAATCTGAAAGACCACAGTGTCTGAACAATAGAACAGAATCTTCTCACATCATCTCGGCACACCTACGTTCCATGTACGTGAAGATTTATACGAATAGGAGAAAAAGGCTGGCTACTACATTAGGAGGGGAAGAGAGAGAAGAGAGAGTTCTGGGAGGAGAGGGGAGGACAGCAGAGGGCAGGGCAGGACTTCATGATGCCCTGAAAGTGGTCAGCAGCTCTGGCTAGTAGCAGCAGTGACAGAGTGGTTTCTCCCGAGTGAGTACCCTTAGGGATAGCTCTGTGAGAGGGGCTCAAACTGGGTTCTGCTATTTGGGGGCTTTAATGCTTTTATTCTGTGTGCGTGCATGACTTGTGTGTGGGTGAGCCACTGCACACACACGTGGTGGACACTGTTAATGTTATTTTTATAAAACTGTGTTTCTCAGTTTCTCTCATAACCCGGCTATCACACAAATAACTGAGACTGTTGTATTATTTTAACAAGCTTCACAGCACAATCCTGAGCAGAGTTAATTCCATTCGCAACCTTCTAAGCTTCCTCCCGGTGTGCATCCCTGTGATACTTGCACTTTGTGACTTTCTGCCCCAGCTCCTTCCTGATGTCTCCTGGACATCTGGCCGAATCCCCTACTTCCTCCTTTAAATTCTCCTCCCCTGGCTGGCAAGAAGTCCATCCCTCCCTATTCTCTCCCCTGCTCAGGGATTGGCTGTAAGCTTCTTTATTAGCATAGCAAGGGACAACTGGGGAATAGTATGTACCCAACACTGAGGCAGAAGATTCTCAGAACAAGGATTGCACCAGATATGGGGAAAGGGAGTATAAAAATCAGCATTTGCATTACACAATAACCTTATGCCTACAGGACACAGTTTCACTGTGAGTTCCAGGCTTGAACATTTGCACAGGAAAAACTTTGACCATGGAGCCAGTCTTGGGTCCTTTGATGTAACTTGTTGCTTGTTGCTATACGACAGAGGCATTCTATGTTGCCTAGCTTAGACTCAGTGTCACAGTGATCCTCCTGCCTCAGCCTCTCAAGTCTAGAGATTTCAGACATGAGTAACCACATTCAGCTTTTTGTTTGGAACAGCAGAAACACATTTTTATGCTCAATTGACTATGTCTTCTACAAAGAGAGCTTTGACAATGTTATATGTAAAAGGATTGATTGTTGACTATTAATATTTAGTATTGATTTATCTTTTAGTTAATCAGTGGTTATTCCTAAACCAGCTGTATACCCAAATTACCACACAGAGACTAGGATTTATTTAATTAATCTAGAGCACAATGCTGGGCAATAATTACTCCACCCTAAACCTCCAAGCCCACATAGCTTTCTCCCATTCAGATTTACCACATTATACTTGCATTTTAGTCATATCTTAGGTCTGGTTCATATCTCTGGGTGTTTCCAGATCCTCTCTTCCCAGATCTCGCTTCTCTGAACCCTGTTCCCATTCACTTCTTTCTCCTCCCCTCTGGATCAGGATGTCCCATCCTATTCTCTCCATTGCTCAGCATTGACTGGTTGTTTTATTGGCAATATAGAGAACAAATGATAGCATGTTTACACAAATTTGAGACAGGTGATGCTTAAGCATCACAATGCAATGTCCAGGTTGAAACCAGATATTGGGTTAGAGAAATCAGCATGTGAATGAACAAAGGTAAGTTGTATACATTCCACAACATTATACCAACATTTCTCCCCTTTAAGTCCAATAAAAGGCTCCTTTTCTTTCAATACAATAATAATTATAAAACAGTTATGAAAACTATTAGATAAGATTTACATGTGCAGTGTCCAGTCCATGTGCATTGGGCAACTAAGGAGAAAGTATTTAATTATCCTATCTTGATAAGTTTAGAGTTCTATACCTAAATTAACTTTTATTCTTATTAGTATTACTTATATGAAAACATTTTCTTAAATTATAAACAACTTAAGCTTACTTGTAGAACTGTAACTATTTGGTCTTCAACCCCACCAGAGACTTGAGAAGGAATAAAATTAGTTACTGGAGTAAATAGGAAGTGCATGTTAGCAGCTTCCAAAAGATAAAAAATTGAAAGACACAGTTTGCTGCCTGATCACCCAAAACTCTCTATAATGTTGGATCGTCATACTTAGCCTTCTGGCTCAGTATATTTGACAGACATATATGTGAAGCAGGAACTATGTAGGCCATACTTACCCTGTCTTGGCAGAGTTCAGCAGTCAACTTGTCCTGCATTTAAGCTTGCCCATTTTGGCGAATTCTGTCTATTGTGAAACGAGGGCTTTTTCTTTTCTTTTTTTTTTGGCCCAGGTGTGTCAGTCACCACATTTGAAGCTATCCTCATGGAGGGTCTTTGATGCTCATCCTCTTCTTTGAGGTAGGCTGGGTGCTGCCAGGAGATGACCTGCCTCATTGTTAAAGAATCATTAAAATAATAAAGACATTTTTAAATGCCATATTCTGTAGGTCTCCGAGGTTTTAAAGACTTACCTATCTTTATATAATCTACCTGTCTATAGAATCAAATCCTGTTAAACCTAGGATGTATACTCCTGTGAAAAACTAGTGCCCGATTCGACTATGATCAACTCATAGTCATAACTAACAATTAACTTGCATTACTTGATATCCTAACCTTATTTTCTCTTTGAATAAGACCATTAACAGCTTATAAACATCTCCCAATAACCATAAACATTTATAGCCATAGAAAACAACCAAAAAACCCAACCCCCTTTAAAGGAAATTCGATGTCGTTCTCATGGATTTTTTGGACACGCAGAAATCCCAAAGGAAATTGGGAAAAATGGTTAATTAAGCAAGCATTAACATTTGTGGTCCAGTCGTTGAATGTTGAGAAATTTCAGGCTTAATAGAAGTCCTTTTTGGAACGGTCTAAAATGTTGGACCAGTTGAGATTAGTAGCTTTCTTCAAAGCTCTTTTGGGAGCAGGCTTTGATGAGAAACAGCAACTGAAGCAGTTGAGGCAGGAACAAGCAGAATGCTGGAACATGCAAGATGCTGGAACAGATGTGTCAATGTCTGAGCATGCTGGAAGGATGAATTCTGTCAGGTTTGATCCAGTGTCTCCAGTGTCCAGTCCTTTTGTTCT